ATCGTTCAGGACTTTTACTATTCATCGCTTCAGTATAGGAAATAGGATTACTTGCGTCTACATAATTTACATAAATAATGCTATTACAAACAATTCGTAATTAACTCTAGCAGGTTTTTTTCTTTCTCTAGTTGATCGTCTTAATTCGATATATTCAATATTGTACATATCATCATTATTATTTAAATTCTGATTATCATTGGAATTTTCGATATCATTTAAATTCTGATTAACATTCACATTTTCGTGATTACTTACATTCTTATCATTTAAACGAATTTCAGCAAAGTTTTTAATATTGCTTACTGAATCACGACCAATACAAGGTGTGCCCTCTTCAATTATATCAACATGTTTAGCAACAACAACTTTATTATTTATCAAGACTCTATAACCAACATTTTCATAACCTAACAACACACTCAGATCTGCTTTTTTATCCCATTTTGAATGTCTCTTTTGTTCAGGTACTCTTACAAAAACCCTACTACTAAACAGTTTTAAATGTTCTACACTCGGTTTCTCACCAAACATTATTCCGTAAGGAGTTTTATTTTTGACAATAGTATTTGTTATAATTCTATTCTTTAAATAAGCCGCTGTCTTAACAATTTCTGGCCAAAAACACTTGTGTACCTTTGCTTCTGCTAACAAACATCTAGACATATCCATTATATCTTTATTATATTTTTCTGCTGTCCCATTTAGCTCATGAACATATGGCGGACAAGGTTCTATTTCAACACCTTTTTCACACGCAAATTTAGACATTTCATTATTCATATATTCCTTACCATTATCACAGCGCAATTTCTTTATCTTTTTACCAGTCATATTTTCAATTGAATTTACATATTTGACAAAACAGTTATAGACTTCACTCTTAGATTTAATTACATGAACCTGAGCCGCTTTACTAAAATCATCAATGAAAGTCAAAAAACATCGTTCCTCATTCAATCCAGGAGTACTATGAGGACCATTCAGATCTGTGTGAACAATTTCTAATATATCACTTGCCCTAGTTCTTCCATTTTTAAATGGTAAGTTATGTATTTTATTTTCTAAACATATACCACACTTAAAATAATCAGACTCTAACTCTTTAGGCAGACCTTTTAATACTTGTTTATCACACATAGTTTTCAAATAGTTAAAATTTATATGACCTAGTGTTCTGTGATATTTTTCTTTCTCAGTCATATTATTTTTAGTTGTCACATTCACTTCCGGTTTTACAATTTTACTCGTCATACGAAATACATTATTGACTTTAAATCTTCTCTTTTACAAAAAATACATTTGACATTTTATTTCTTATCATTTGGCCAACAACATTGAACTCATGTACTATGTTACCTATTTTAGTAGCTTTTAATATACGACCATCAGCAATTTTAACATCCACAGGTGTTTTAAGAACAATTGATTCATAAAAGTATTCATCATTATTGACAATGTGGTCGGAACATCCACTATCTAAAAGCCATTCTACTTTATCAACTCAACCATTAACTACAGATTCATGTGATTCAATCTCAGTACAAAAACTACTTGAGCTGCCATCTTCCGCTCTTTGGTAATAACCTTGCTGCCAACCGCCACCACGACGATGTTGACTGGAGCCCCGACTCCCTCGACCGTTGCTACGATACTGCCAACTTTGTTGGCGTCCGCCTCCTTGCTGATACATGCCGCCCCTGGGTTTCCATGAATTGCCGCCCGGTTTTGTATTGGGACATTGGTCTTTGAAATGTCCAAATTTTCCACACTTGAAACAATTTTGATCTTGTTTTTTTTTCAGTTTTGAATACACTTGCACTTGCTATTATCTTCTTTTTCTTTTTGTTCAATCATTTTAATTTTACTTTTCACATACTCCACAGTTTGATCTCTTTCTTTCAGAACATCAACAAGGTCTCCAACATAGCCCAACGAACTTGGAAGCATTTTTATCATCAATTTTTCCATTCCAGAAACTGTAGCCCCAGCACTTCTTAACTCATTAATTATCTTTTCAAATTCAGCAAAAAATGTAGCTGAATCTTCAAAATCTTTTAATCTAAGCCTTTCTAGTTTATTTCTCACACATATTTGAAGAGCAGTTGATTCTGTCAAATACATCTCATCGAATTTTTTCATAATGTCATAGGCCGTTTCTTTGTCTTTAATAAATTGTAACTGATCATTCGAAATTCCACTGTATATTATATTTATAGCTTTCAAATCCATTTCATTCCACTCTCCTTCGTTTTCGTTTGCACGTTCTCTGCAACAACTTCACATTTCTTCATTTTCAGAATCATTATAATTCTTTTCTTCCAACATTCATAGTCTATCCCATCAAAAACGAGAATTTTTAATTCGTCCACCATTTTGCTCACAAACTGAGACCTATTTTTTTTTAAAACAATTTTCCACTGAAACTTATCCACGAACATTATTCTTTAAAAATGGAGGATTCAACCGTCATTTTGTTCCTTTCTCTTCTTATTTCCAAATCAACAACCAAATTTTCCACTTAATTTTTTTCCTTCATCGAACCACGGACCTTTGCTACCATATTAAATAATTAGGTATCTCACTTGAATAATAAATAACTATGATAAAACTTAATGTAATTTATTTTATTGAGAAAATACCAAATACATTATCTTGGCAACGGCAATCGAACAACTAACTCAAGTAAAGTAGTTTACATTACATAGGTGTCGCGCGATACAAATTTACTACCAACTTGACAATTTTATTACTTGTTAGAAACTCCTCATAATTAAGATGATTAATGACACAATCACTCGAAACACCACAATATTTATTTAAAATAGAGAACAATGTTATTATTGATTATGCATGTGATTGATGAAAATATAACAATGATAAAAATAAACGAAATTGAGAATGGTAAACTTATAGCAATAGAGAAGTTATCTAAAAAATACTGCTAGGCCCGAATGTCGCAGATGAATGCCCAAGCGGGACAAGCGTTCCTTCTTCGTTTAATTACGACGTCAAAGACGTCATTTGTTTAGTCTACGATGACTGCTCACATACTTGTATTTAACTTAAGCTTATTTTCCACGCACCATCTGCTGAGTTTGTCGATATCTGTTAAATTTCTAAATATTTTCAAATCATCTGCATATAATAAGTATTCCGATTTAAGATTGAGAAACAAGTTGGGCACCCCATTAAATCCAGCACCTTTTTTGCGTCCAGCTTACATAGTTGTTCGAAGACATCATCGAATCTAACTTGCAAATCAGCCAAGTTAACATCCAGGTCTAGTTGTTGATTTTAGTTTCGGATTAAAGGCGAGGAGCTAGTGTTATCCAGGTTGCTGTCATAGATACTTTTAATGAAAGATGCAGATATGTCAGTTATTTCACTCATCATCATTTTCCGCCTTGTTTTCATTCCAGGACATGGAAGATGGAATGTCGATATCATTTCGTTTCTTATGTTTAACAAATTTCCAAAATTGACTGACTTCATTATATCTTCAACTCTTGTTGTATATGTTATAACACTTTGCACTAATTGTTTTACATTCTAATCTTCGGAAACTATTATAGGCCGCTTTTGTTCTTGATTTTTTATAATTTGTATGCGCTTCCTTTTTCAGTCTGATTTTATCTATTAGCTCTTTAGAAAACCAACTAGGATAATTGTTTATCTTACTTACGTGGACCAGGGCAAAATGTGTAATTCCTTTATTGATGTTTTCATAAAACAAATTANTTAATAGAAATAAAAATTAGAATGTCTTGAAAGAGGAACTAAAAAGTTGAAGTTACTTATTTCTCAAATATATCTAAGGGAGTATCAAATTGGTAGTATACCCTTTTACCTTTGCAGACTTTTTTAGGTTCTGGAACAATGGCAAGTAAATTATCAAAAGGCTCATAGGATAAATCAGTCTCAACTAATTTGAATTTTGTTGCAGTGTTGTCAATTGCCTTAAAAAACATAATTTTAACCTCACCATCCTCTTCTACTTCAGACAAGGCTTTACCCAGGTAGACGTAATCCTGTTTTGAGCTGGAAACTTTTACTAAGACGCAAATACCTTCGTTTATTTTATTAGCATGAATATTTTCCATTTTTCCTTTGATGTGCAGGGTTGTGCAACTGAATAGGTAGGTTTTTCTTTTAAAGATATCAAAGGGCCCTTTTGTTCGCTTTTGATAAAGGTTGCTTATATCGGACAGCATATTTTTATCGCAATTGGAGGGAGTTGACTGTTCTACTGCAGTTTTCAATGGAAAGTAATTCTTAGGATTCATACAAGTGCAAAAGCCGCGCTGACAAAAACAACTCAAATTTCTATACTTTAGAACTCCAGGCTCCTCAGAGAAAACTTGATGAACTTTCATTGTACCTAATAATGGCACGATACTGTCCGGGATCTGTGTTGAACTGTGTTCAATATCCTCATTTGTTATCAGATGTATCCTCACTTTACTCACATCTTTCAAAGCAAGATAGAATTTTGTGGCATCAGGTATATCACTTCCATGTGCAACAAGTTGGTCTGCAGCCCGTTTTAAAAAACCACCGATCCCGTCTGCTGCACCCTTGCCATGGCCCGCCTCGAAAAAATTCCATGTTACTTTGATAAACTGGTAGTTAGAGAATAACTTTGTACATATCAGATAAAAATTCTGTTTTTGGCGGTATTGAGTGGCGGGGCCGTCTGAAAATACATGCAGGACATTTACTTCCGGAAATTTCTCTTGAATTGAAGCAAAGATGGGATGGAGGTGAGCCCATATTGCAGCTGGATTGTGTGAAAGATTTCCAGACACGGTACAAAACGATTATACATCTATTTTATGGTCTGAACAACGACTGTAGATCACTCCAGTGTGCAAGGACACTTGATTTCGGGAACCACCAAAATGATGAGATTGTACCTCTTCAAAACATTTGCAGCTGTAATTTTCACTGAAGTCAATGTGCAGTGCAATTTCATTAGTGGTCAACTCATCTATGCATTTTCTGTAGTTTCTGTACTGTGTCTTGATGTAATAAATATGCCTTTTAAATTCCTCTAGTGTAATTTCAAACTTTTCCATCAGTGCCTTTCCCGTACTTTCTGTTTCCTCTTTAACGTTTTTTGTAACTTTGATTTTCTTTCCTGCCTTCTCTATCACTTCAGTTTTACTTATCCATTGAGAATATCTTACTATGATTTCGTCTTTTGACGTATCAAAATTAGTTGTTTTTGATAGGCATACGGAACAGATTCCTGTCATACATGCTAATGAATCTGGATTGCATACTTGGTCTACAATAATCTTATTAAGATCTGATGTTGGAATAACTTTGTTTTTGCACAAAGCAAATGCTAAGTATTGGATATTAGTATGAATTCGACACAAGCATGTTTCTCTTGCAGCGACAGTAGGAGGCACAACAAAAAATGGTCTGTAACGTGTAAAAGTTTTGTAACTGCATCTCAAGGCAGGATTTTCCTGCTTAAAAGATACATAAAGGTTCTTCATATTATCGAGTAAGTAGCGCTTCTGCATTTTATCTTTCTTTAGAGACACGGCTTCCTTTTTTCCAGCAGTTGCCCTTGATATGTCGTCACGTTCGAAAAATTCCTTGATTTTAGTACTTAAAATCTTTACTTTAAAAAGAGGTTGTTGTTTTCTTACGTAACCCTGGTCCACAGCAAGACATTCTTTTATAATTTGTGTTTTCTGCCTAGAACCTTTAACGGTCTTCTCTTCAAATATTTTTTGAATAGCAACTTTTTCCTTCCGGGTTTTTACATTTTTATAGCGTTTTTTAATAGCATTTGATAAAATCTGATATTTCTGTTGATTACATCGATTGCCGTCTTCATTTTGAAATCGTTTTTGTTTTTCTCTGTTGTATCGTTTTTTGTACTTTTCGTGTCTCTTGTTTACTGTCTCTAATTGTTCCTTTAATTTCATATTATCTCTAAATAGCTTTGATCTGTTTCTTTTTATTTGCTTCCTGCCGCGTACCGCTGCTGATGTAGAGTTAGGAGTGCTTTCACGAGAAGTAGACAGCCGAGGTGGACTATTTGAACGAGGGGGTGATGACTCTGGAGTGTGCATAATCATACTGAGAGCTTTGGCTTTATCTCTTCGTCTGGCATTCGCACATCGCCATTTCTTTTTTATTGCTCGATGTTCACGTGTTGTTAAATCACGTACTAAGCGTTTGTTTGCATGGTATCTTTCTCTATCTTTTCTTTTGGTTTCTTCTTCCTTCTCTTGATTATTTCTACGGCGTTCCCGGTATCGTCGCTGCTTCTCAGCAGGCGTAAGAGGCATTTTAATAACGCAAACAACGCATAATATCCTGTAACAATGAGTTTTTGGGGTTATTTATATTTATTATTTCGATTTATTTGTATACATATAACAAATTTATCCATTGCTTGAGACAACTGATTAAAAAAAATAACATTTGAAACATAATATTTTAGCCAAATAACAGAATATAATGGCTTATGCAACTCTGTTACTTTCTAAACAACTCTGTTACCACACGATAGTAACAGAGTTGCGTAGTAACAGAGTGGTAAATTTTACATTCCATTATACACAAGTCAAAAAATAAAGCGTAAAGTAAAATATTTCGTTCACATTTAACACATTTACCCCTCAGACAATAAACTGAACGTAAACTAATGAAAAAATATTCATTTACTTATGTGAATAGGTAGGTAACAAGGTGGACGGGCAATTTAAACACGCAGCACGTTCAACACCTTGCGGTCGACTGTCGAGCGACATACCCCTCCCCCCAACCTAACGAACTCCCACGACGAATGCAGACATTTCGCCCAAAATAAAACAGTGTCCAAAACAGCGCCATCTTCATTTTGAGTCGTGAATTAGTTAGTAACATAGTGAACCAGCCGGTTCCAGATAGTACGTGGGACAAAGTTTAGAAAATTATTTAAAAACTAAATTTTAATACTGACTGATTTTAAAACATATTTTATTGAATATTTATAATACTCTGTTTACGATTATAATTTATATTAAGAGGGTTACTATAGTAGAAAATGCATTTATATGATGTTTATTGTAACGGAATGCTACATGGGACAGGTACAATTTGTAAGGAAAACCTTTCTGTTACCACTAATGACCATTTTGTTAATTGAAAAAAATTGAAAAATATCGAAACTTGAGTCTTTATTCCAATAATGGATGTTCGCTATAGCGATGTATTTTGTATTTAATATATAATTCGTTAAGGATTTTGACATTATTAATAACAAAAAAATAAATAATGTTGAGGGACTCGTTTACCTGCGCAAAATTTGACAATGACCC